TCTTATCACATCTTCCTTTTTATGAATAGCATATGCTGTTAACTTCTTTTCTCTTGAACTCTTGAAGAGATGACCTACTGTGATGTTGTTAGCTAAACTGATCTCTGCACAATACTCCTCCCTCTTTAAAGGGCTTTGTAACCTGAAAAACACAATGGGAAAAATTCTCCTCTGGGTAAAATGTTGTTTGATGACAGTTTTCTTACTTTTAATGATTAAAAAATACCAATGTAAAGCCACTTCAAAGAAACTTTGGGTACATTTATTACAGATTAAGAAAACATTGAGTCCTGACTAGTGCATCTCTTCAGAACTAGTGGGGAGCAGTTTTTGAATCAGTTGAGGCTTGCAAATTTCCGTGTAGCAGAGCACCATATTTAAATGTTATCCCTGGTGTCTAGGAGAACCTGCAGCAGGAGGGCCTATTGGTTAAGGCAACAGCAGAAGGCATGGTTTGGCCATTATAGGCTAAGTTTTAGAGGTATATTCTGTGCAGACCTTGGCAGTGGAGAGGCTTTTTCAGCCACTTACTTGTCATATCTTTTGCTTGGCAGACTAGCTCTGCAAAATGGGTTAGCTGACTGGATGTAAATGTCCCCATTGAAAAACTTTCAAAATCTTCTTCTAAAGAAAATTTTAAGGTGGAGTTAGTTCAATCCTTTGCCTACTTTTGGACCAAAGTACAGCCTCTTTTGTGTTTATTGACCAAATCAGTTGACCCTTTTTTGGTGCTACCTTCAAATGTTTAAATATTTTCAAAGAATAGGGTGTGAGATGTGCAAATATTCAACAAAGTCCATACATGAGCCTATAGAAATAAAGGGGTGTGTTTTTGCACGTCAAGAACAGAAAAGAAAACTGAAGAAATTTAAAGAAGGGATTGGTGATCTTTATGAACTGGTTCAGGTATCTAAATTTTTCTTGTTCAGACCAAGTGTTGTTATGCTTGGATCCTTTTTCTTTCTGCTGCTTTCATTACACTGAGGATCATAAACACACACTAACAAACACATGAATAGAATTTAACCCTGTAAAGCAAAACCAGGACTAGGATTCAAAGTGTCCTTTTAGGTGACTTTAAAATGTGGCCTGGGCAACCTTGTACCATTTTGGGGCCCACTTCATTAAATGGCTTCCCTGGGTGATAATGATCTGTTATGAACATCAGTATCTCTTTCCTCTGCTTGCCCTTATAATTGGAAATAGAGATCTTTAGCAATCCTATATAACATATACATAAAACTGCAGAACTGCAACTAAACTATCAGTAAATTCTTATGCACCATCCCTCTATTTCAGCATGGCTTGTATTCAGCAGAATTATTAATCGTAGGTGTCACTGTACAAGATAGGGCTATGAATTAGATGTTCACCTCAGAGTTATAAAATCCCCCGTTTTCTATGGTCTTGGCTTTAAACATGAGCTGCAAGCATCTGATTTATTTTTAGTGTATATGACAAAAAAGAGACTGAAGCTACAATGCAGAGTTTAATGCTTAAAAATTATTTATCTCACAGCCTTTGTTTGAAGTCTGACTCCTGTAGACATACACCTCCTCCTCTATTCTTTCGTTCAGTAGTTCTTTGTAGATATTAAAACAAAACATAATGCGTGGCCTGCATCTTATAAGCTCTTAAGTCAAGATTGTGTGAGATCTTATTGCAGAGTATAATTCCGTGGAGACCTTTAGCAAGAGCAGCATTGTAGTGGAAAATTTTGCTGTGGTGGAGCACATCATAACCAGGCACTAAGAAGAATCTCCCCCCCAAAATAAATAAATAAATCAGTGTGTCCTGTTGAGGCAGCTCTGTATTTACATCCAGAGGATTGCACACAGTCTGTGAATAAAGAACTGGAGAAAATGACTAGAAATAATTACATATTACTCATTTTTGTCAGATCTTCTACAACTATTTAATGGTGATTCCAAAACCCCTTTTAAGTTTGCTGGCTGTGATATTTATAACCTTAGAAGGGAAATGTTTCTCTTCTTGGAAATATATTCAATGGATCTATGGTACTTTTTGAATAGGGAATGTAGTGGAATAAGGGTTGCATTTCATATTTGTAGTAAAGATTATATGTTTAATTATGAGTAAAAGGTTACCTAACTTGCCTAAACATATCTTGATGTAACCTATAGGTGGTCATGACCTACGGGAGGTCATTTTAAATTAATAAAAGAACTTTTAAATGTAGCCTGTAAATGCAACAACATGTAATATAATATAATATAACCACTTTTGGAATAGGATAGAGAAATCGTTCTGTTGTAAATTTATAAACAAGTCATTTGCCTCCATGCTTTTGCTCAGGGCCAGCAAGCGTAGAAATGCTTTGGCACTGATGTCTCCATGACCAGCATCTTTCAAACTCCCACTCTGCTGTAACTATTTAACCCCTCGTACTCCTGCTCCTTCCCTAATATTGGCAGCAACCCAAAAAGCTTGCACAACGTTCATGAAAAATCCATTGGAAACATCCTAATTGCTGAAGAAAATGAAATATAAGTCTTGGTTCACCTCAGTGTATTATTTATACAATTTATATGCCACTCCAATTTAAAAAGATTCTAATGTATTAAGTCATTAGCTACCTAAACGTGCAATAATTTCCACCTTGAAACACCTAATGGAATTCAATTAACAGCTTCTGAGAGATGTGGAACTTGATGGTAACATGAATATGACTGCAAATTACTTATTGCAGATAAAGGAAAGAGTACAGAATCTTTTCAGTTTAATACAATATCTTGTGTAAATGTTAAAAAAAAAAGACTTGGAAGCTTTAGGACGAGTTTGTAAATTTTCTAATCTACAAATTGGCACGAATGGCATATAGATTTTGGAATAGAGAATAAAAATATTTTCCATTTCCCTCAATATAGAGATCTGATCTCAGAGGAACTCTATGGTCATCCTACCTCTTGCCCATACTCTCAGGCTTCGGGGCTTTTATGATAGACCCAGAAAGGGATGTGCCCTGAAAAATCACAGATATGCTGGACCCAACCCCTTCCAACCTTAAAAGAATCGCATATCACTTAATTTGCCTCAAGTCGTAAATGTATTTAATTTTTTTTATTTCCTCATTAATCACTTTAACTTCTGAAGAGAGATAGTGCAGCAAATGCTGTTTCTCCTTTATTTCTGCCTGGAGCCTGGCAAAAACCCTGAGCAACTTAGTGCCCCTAACATATGGAAATAAAATCCATGAATAAACATTAAAGCCACGTTTCCTGTTTTGCCATCTCAGTTGTTCAGAGTCCTGCTTTATGAAACCATTTCTACTTCAGGGAGGTTCAAACACCACATTTTAATCATTCATTCAATTTTGACATATTGGCAAGTAGGATGAAATCCTACCAGTTACCACCTAGATCCCAGGCACTCAACCGGTTTTGTGTTTGAGCCACAAGTTTCTAAATGACTGTCTTAAGGTTCCACCTTTTCTCCCACTCATAACCACATATACCACCTTCCCTCCTACATGTGTAATGTCGCTCTGCCAACTATAGCAATTGCTTGTGTGTGGAAACCATGTTAGCCAAGTAAAGCATTTTTCAATGTCTTCATTGGAATTCCTAAACTGGAAAAAAAGGATGAATGCCAGCCTGCTTTTTTTAGACCACCAGAATTACTCCTGGCTCTAGTTCTCATTGGAAATAAATGGTTTACATTAGTGTAACGGTTAGAGTCACAAAAAAGGTCTAGAGAAAACTGTTTGGTTTGGAACACTACTATGCAATTTTACTATGTTGGACTTCATACCTGCCTTAGTGTCAAAACTCCTGCATTCATCTTTGAAGAATATGTCTGCAGAATGTCTTAAACTTCAATCATAGAAACATTTAAGAAAGCCAGACCAAGTACAGCTTCAATCTATGAAAAACTTACCTGGTTATTTAAAAATTGCTACATATACCGGTAGCATTAAAATTCAGTCTTTTTATAGCAGACTGACACAGATGAGTACCAAAAGGGTGATGTAATCACTAGTTTCAGAAACTTAAGTCTGTGTATGTGTATTCATTCAGATAGATCTAATGTTTCTAGCAGGAAGGCAGCTTTTCATGTTTATCTTTGGAAGCACACATGCTTTTTGCCGTTCAGTTCGTAGCACGTGTGACTTTACACAATGGTTTGCTTCTGTTAGTATTTTTCGTGGCCATGACCCAGGACACCGTATAATTATTTGTTGAATAGTTATAGTGTATGGGAATAAATTACCTGCCAATATTTTTGTGCTCCTCGATGGATATTAAGGAACTAGGGTCTGAAAGGTCAATTCTAGGCCACAGTGAATATTGCTTGGTAAGAAGGAGCATTTTTGTGACCATCCTGAAAAAAAGTGGAAGCGCCTTCAGAAAAATGCCATCTCTGGTTCTAGTCATTACTGCTACTGGTCATTACTGCTACTATTTTGTGATTAATATTCCCATACTCTAAGACAGGGGTAGTCAACCTTGGCTCTTTTATGACTCGTGGACTTCAATTTCCAGAATTCCTGAGCCAGCTTAGCTGGCTCAGGAATTCTGGGAGTTGAAGTCCACGAGTCATAAAAGAGCCAAGGTTGACTACCCCTGCTCTAAGATAACTATTAGACACCTCAGAATACTTGCAAGATGTTTTTCACAGTGACTGTCAAGTGATTGTGGCATTGACTATTTCCTTATTCAGAAGACAACCATGACATCTGTAACTTATTACTGAACACCATACCACTTTGAATTTAAAAATGGGCAACATTTTATATATACATACATATATATATATATACAGGCTGATAGAAAGGATGTCTGTAAAAATATTAAGCACAATACTGAATATGAAGAAGCAGCACCTCAAGTTGCCTTTACGCTTATCTTAGCAAGGTGATCTATTTGCCTTCTGCGATGCCAATACTATATCCATTACTATCCATTAGGTGATTGTATTTTCTACACAAAATATTTAACTTTTGACAGATCTTGCTGAAAGTGTGCCTTTTTGGGTTTTAGCTTTATCTTCAGGCCAGAATGAAAGGTGACTGGGCAAGACTTTTGCGTCCTACAGTCCAGTTTGGACTTATTGCTGCATCCATTTATGTGGGCCTCTCCCGTGTTTCTGATTACAAACATCACTGGAGCGACGTGTTGACTGGACTCATCCAGGGAGCACTGATAGCAACCCTTATCGTAAGTCTGTAACAATTTTTTGATCATTTCCCTTTTTAAATAAGCTAATTTGACTTAAGCCTTTCTGGGTTTTTTTTTTTTTTCAACTGAAATAAATCGCAAAGGGGCTTTCATATATTTAAACTGCCAGTTTCATGTGTCATAGGTTCACTGCAATGGGAAAAAGATGACATGAAGTTTTGCATTTCCATTTGCCAATACTGGAGAACAAAGCAGCCTTTTACCAGATTTCACTATCCCACTTATCATTTTCTTTCCTCCCTACCTGCTCTGTAAATCAATTGTTGGGTGTCAGCCATAACTTCTAGAGAAAGACTTCTAGTTCGAGTATACCCAGTGGCTGATGTGTACAGAAGGACGGTTAACAATAATGTAAGTACTGTTCTTTCTGCTGACACAATTATTGTGTCCCTACAGGTTGTATATGTCTCAGATTTCTTCAAAGAGAGAGGCCGTACATTTAAACAGAAGGAGGAAGAAGATTCACATACAACTCTACATGAGACACCTACCAACGGAAATCACTATGGCAGTAATCACCAGCCATGATATGTTCAAGAGCTATTATCCTGTGGAATCTCCTCCTATTTAACAGGAAAATTTCACAAATATTTCTGGTCTATGTAAAAAAGAAATAAATGCCTTTTGAAGGGACTGCTGCTGCTATACCTCTTAAGTGCTCACTTTACATGTATATAGTTAACAACAATGTATTTAAAAACCTCAAATTTCTATTGGTTCAAGCTTATGCTTTATAACACAGTATCCTGACTATTTTTTAATTAAAATAATATGTAATACTTATTACAAACAGCAATGGAATACATTTAAAATAAGAATCTGTCTTGCTTGGGAAGAGGAAGCACTGGTAATTTTAGTAGCTCTTTTTTGGAGTAACTGCTGCAGAATGAAGGCTGTTCAGACACCACACATTCTTCTTATAGATAAAGACTTGCAGCAAACACAATGTCTCTCTTGATTTTTGTAATTCCTGTTGAGAATAAAAGAAGAATATATCCAACGTTAATGACATAATTGTAGTCACATACTACTTACTTGCTCATGATAATAAGATCTAGTAAAATAAAACTAAAAAGTCCAGTGCTGACTTTTCAAAATATCTTATTTTCTCCCAATTTCCATGTCAAGATATTGTACAACTATTTTGATTGTTAGGGAAACATTAGCAGACTCTTAGATAACCTCTCCCCCTTCAAACTCAGCAACAGCAGATTATAACGGGCATGTTCAGTTCAAATGGAATACTTTGGCTTATGGCCAAGCAATTTTAAACTGCTTGTAAATATATTCTACATTTTAAGATGCACATATTTATATAATATTGTACATACAAACCTTCTGCAAATTTGTTTTCCAGTTCTGTATTTCCAATGGCCTTTGCTGCTTGGCACATCTGTCTAAGCAGTTCTTCTAGCCTCCTCATACATCGAATTATGCTACCTGAATGAGGAAATATACAGATAAAAATGGGTAGATAGATATTCATGTTAGTCATTTTCTGCAAAGTAATGGGGCCCTGCCCTTTCTATGAAGTAAATAGAATAGGACTGTTGCTTCTATTATGGTGGGTTTTTTTGTGGAGCTGTATGTAAAAAGCAAGCTCATTCATTCAATTCTCTTTATCTGAAGCAAAGAGAAGGAGTGTAACAAAATGTTTAAAAATGGCTCTGAAATCCACAGGATTATTTCCTTTATGTACGATGGGCTTTGGCTAACCATCCCTGAAATTCATGCTTAATATGGGGGCCTTGTGGTCTTTGGGGCATCCCAAGACATCCCTCCCTTTGTCACTCTGTGCTTTGGGAAGGAAATACAAGAGATTTCATGTATTATATTTTAGCCTTAGCATATGTCACAAATTTATTGTGAATGCAGATCATTTAAAAAAGAGAACCCAGAATCTACCTATCTCCCTCCTGTATGTTTTTATATTCTGCAATGACACCTGATGAAAAGTATGTCTTGTTTCAAATGTTCTGGGAAACTTGTGAGCTGGAACTGTAAAAGTAACCTGGGTGGGTATAGATTAAGGCAGGGGATAGATTTTTTGTTATTGATGAGAATTTGAAGAAAGTAGGCCTATAATGAACAATTTCATCAATTTGAAAGATTAAATGTTATTGCTTGATTAAAAATCTAGCAACTCTTTTAAAAAGTCATCTGGAGTCAGTTATCAAAAAGAAACAAATCTGAGCCACAAGAGCTTGGGACACTGACCTCTTCGGTACTTTGAGCAAACTTATTATTTCAAAAAAGAAATAATTCCTGCTGAAAAGATTTGATATGAAAAAACTATAAAGAATATGTTGACATCTAGGGAATCTTTCTTGTGGTCATATCATAGAGCAAGTATTACATCAAATCAGGCGCCAAATGAATTCCATTTGCCAAGATATTCAGTGAGCATGTGCCCTCTGAACCTGCCGCTTGTATTTTCCCTCCAAATTGACAAATGTGTCACTAAAACTTTGCTTCAATGTACTTTGCTGTGACAGAAAAGTGCCTTTCAGTATTACTGTTCATGTTTGGAAGCATTTTTGTTTGCTTATCTGATATCTGGAAATAAATATTTGCAATTTTAATGGGATTTAACAAAAAAAAAGTTATGCTGCCATTGTCAGTGCCTTGTTTATGTTTTACATAATTTTCTACCTTAACAATGGAAATTGCTATTGTGGGCAGCTTAACAGAATGTAATCATCCCACCCTGCCCAGTGTTGAACTTCAACAAATCTAGCCCCTTGTGCAAGTCTGGTCTCCCATTTAAAAATCAACAGTTTGCTTACTGGAAAATCTTTTATCGCATGGGAAACAAAAGAGGACACTTTTATATAGCATTTATAAATGCAACTTTCACAAAATTGCCTGCCTGCTTCACTGCAACCAATAAAATGCATACCTAACAAAAGTAACTTCAGGCCTCTTTTATTTTTCTCTCCTGGCATTCTTGTCTCTCAATGAATGGCATAGTGGTGGGTGGAGGATGGACAGAATGGAAGACTTACTTATATCTAATCTCACTTTTTCCTGATTTATAAAGAGGTTGTAGATGCTAACAATCTCATTATAAGAAACATACTTTTTTCGCTTGAAATAATGATTTAAACAGCTCACAAGATCTTTCGAATTTACAGAAACTTAGGGGTCCCTTAATATTTTAAGGAAATAATCTCATTCTCAAAAATGAAGATGTTATAACTACTCTTGTTTGTGAGTAAAGCAAAGACTCCCTACAAAAACAACAACTGTCAACTTGGGAAAAGGGGTCTCAAACAAGCACATGTACAAGAAAGGAAGAAAGCCTCCTATTCTTGGGTTCGGTGCAGTCACACCAAATTTCAATCCACACTCAAGAGAACTTCTTTCTAAATCACATTTACCAAATACATAGAATTTGTCCACCACTGTGTTATTACCCTGCAAAGCCCTTTGGATGTCAAGTTATTTTTGCAAAGAAATCCTTTGACATTTACTCAGGCTGCAACTGGTTTCAAAGCAACTGTTGTCAAAGCAAACAATACGCTCAATATTTGCAGTGATTGCTAATGCTTGGGAAGGGGGTGGGGGAAAGTAAAGAAATACAGTTTTTATACAATCAAGGTTTTAAAAACTAAATGGCCAATAGGGCAATTTGTTTATTTATTCATTCAATTACATTCTGTTTTTCCAGTGAGCACTTAAACCAATTAACAATTTAAAAAAAGATTTAAAACCAAATATTAGTCTGCAGTACACACACTTAAGTTCAGTGTAAAAAACTTCTAAAGTTGAATGAGGGATGTAGTACATGCAATACCACATATTTTTCACAACTCTTTGATTCAGAACCCTCAAGCAGAAATTTCAATGGAAGACCTGAAAGTTTTTCAACCCCATCATTCTATTTGATTCCTCTATTATTGGCAATTCTCCCTCTTCCCCTACCCGAAAACTATGGTTTGCTGGGTGTATTCAGGTACAAATGTAATAATACATAGGGTTGTTGTGTTTTTTTTTAAAAAAAAAAAATACTCATGAAAATTTGTAATGGAATTGAGAAAAAAGAAACTAATTTGGTGTTTTTCAATGTTTGTGAAAGCCAATCTTCTTCGTAAAGGAACTGGGAAAAATAGGCAGAATAATTTATCATTTATTAGGACACAATGCCACGTTGTCTTATCCTTTGTTGGAAAGTCTTCCTTTCTTATAACTACCAATGTGAAAAAGACAACGGTACAGCCACAACTACTTACAACCTAAAGCCTTTGATTCTTTAACTCCAGCATCAAAATAAACACATACCTTCGAAGACATCTGTCATTTTACATATATGAGCAAATGTAGCACCATTGGTCCATGTGTATACCACATCCATCAGGTTTGGTCTGAATAAACTGAGATAGTTTTCCTCATCAACTTCCAATTTAGCTTCTGCTGAAACTTTGGCAATTCTTTTTGCACATTCCTTAAAAAGGAAAAACCATTTTATTTAAATCAACAAATCAAACACAAAAATAATTATCCTTAAGCCCATATATCAGTCACTGTTTAGTTTCTATTCTTGAAGGAGAGATAAAATTCATGTCTTACAGATTTCTTTTATGTTCTAAGTACAGTAATTATTTGAATATAATTACTTTGTTTAAATAGAGTTTCTGCTTCATAGTGGAAAATCTGTATGTTGGCACAACACATTAAAGCAGAGCTCACAATAGGATAAAAATAGGATAAAATTGGGATTCCCAAATGATACTCCATGAGGCATCAGTCAGACCGTAGATATTATAGTTCCTGTTCCTGCCATGTTCCTTACTCCACTTACATTTTTAAAGCAAAATGCCAATTTCTAGCATTATCTTTATTTTCAAAAATGTTTCTGGATCTCACAGACACTCTTAGAAAATAAAAATGAATTCAAGGAACACATTGGAAGGCCTAACATAGGGTATCCTTGCCAATGAATGTAACTAAATACATCCACCCAATCCACGTCAGCCGTATTATGAGAGCACTCCTGGGGTAAATTCTTCCAACCCACGTTATCCAATCATATTCAACATCAAAACAATTTTAAATTACACTGATAGATTTACAATTAAGTGATATCAAAAGTTCATACTTTAAGACAGAGATTGGACTTCAAAAGTTTTTATTATTATTGAAATTGTAATATAATAAGATTGCAAAACAAGAAAAGCAGACAAATTATATAGGCTTCTAAAGTAAACAGATGCATTTTTCTCATTAGAAAAATACACTTACCAATTTACAATTAAGATTTCAATCTGAATTATGTAGTACATTTTCTTCTAAGCAAAAGCTCCCTGTGTTAGATCAACTTATACATGGAACGAACTGAAAAACATTTACCTGCATTTGACGAAGAGGGCCTGCTAACTGTTCAGTTAGTTTGGGCATTTCACTCGACTGAAAAAACAAAAGAAAAGAACACACCAACTCCAATATATTCTACATATTTAAAATTCGTGTAACTACCATACAAAATCTTAGTTGAATCAAAAACACTTCACAGACTGATTATCACTTTTTAAAATATCTTTATAAAGCTTCTTTGCCAATACTGAATGCAGAATACTGTATGAGCCTCCTGGATTTCCCCCCCCCCCCGGTGAAATATTATTCCCAGTGTTTTACTACACGTCGTTTTGGAACAAAAGGAAAGGCTGACATTACGATTACAACTGTGTAATAGTATCTCTGAAATATGCTCTTTATCTCTGAAATATGCTCTTTAACCAACATTAATTCTGTTCTCCTGACTTTTCTTGCAGAACTCTTTCCATATATATTATTAAGTGATCAGATCTACAAAGGAATGGCTAGGGTTGTTTGGAGAGCTGAAGAGACTCTCACCATCCTTTTTTCTCCTGTCATTCCCAATTCCCATCACCGTATTTACTTAAGAAATCTCTAATTTACTCCATGCATCTGATGAAGTGAGCTTAAGCCATGAAAGTACCTGTGTTCATTTCTTTGGCATTATAGTGTATGCAAGTTCAATTGTAGACTCTGGGTGGCTCATTAAAAAAAAAACACATCATAAAAATACCATAAAACCAAAATAATAAAAATACATAACAAATCCACATAAGCATAATAAAAAACATAATTATCATGACATCACTCTCATGGATTATTTACAGGATGACAAGTACCATTTCAGTTTCATCTGCAGGATTGAAGTATGACTGCAATTTATTTAGATATAGCCTTTTCTTTCAAAGTCTTCAGTAGCTGAACCCTGTCCCCC